AGAGAGAGAGAGAGAGAGAGAGAGAGAGAGAGAGAGAGAAAGAGACGGAGCAGAGAGAGAGAGAGAGAGAGAGAGAGAGAGAGAGAGAGAGAGAGAGAGAGAGAGAAAGAGAGAGCCACGGATTATCAGCGAGTGTTGCTGTGCGCCACGGCGTCGCCGTGGCGGGGTCCACTTGTTTCCTTAAAGGAAAGAGATGCACTGCATCACTATTTTAATTTTGAAGTATTTTTTTGTTGTGGGCTGCTAACAGCGACTAAGAGTCTTGTTAGACACTCCTAACAGACTGTAGCGTCAGATTTCGATGCAGTCCTAAAAAAACATTGTTTGGGACCATTTCTTGAAAAAACAACAATTCTTAACGAAAAAGAAAGAGAGTCGTGTGCTTCACCGCCTCAAGGAATAGGATACCACCATGGTTCACTTCAGAGGATGCCCTCTCCACACCAACACCATATTCCTCCAAACTTTAAAACTCCTCGTGAAAAACATTAGTCCTCCGCTTTGGCTTAGAATTCCTAAATACTTCAGAACAGATCCTTACAATGTTTTCATTTTATTTTCTTAAGGAATTTGTTTTTAGGAATGCAACTCACCACACTACTTTCCATAAAAAGTGGCATTTTCAAGAATGTCGAACGAGATTCTAAATGCCTAAATAATTTTCTTATTCCAATCCGAAGGATAATTTTATTACTAACATAAGAGTATTTTTTTAACTTACAAGTCATCTTGCTGTAAAAATAAAAAAGAGTCAAATAGCGTACATTGTTCATCTTTTGTTTCCCCTTCTTTTCTCTTTCCTTTCACTTCAAGAGGTTTTATAAAAGATGCAGTGCTCATAAAAACAAGTAATAACTAAGAAGAGGTATTATAGAAGCACTAAAGAAAACAGCACCAGTGCAAACCTGTCTTTGAACCAATAGATGAAAAAGCACACGTAAAGCAATGGAGAAAGAAAAAAAGTATCTTTTTTTATCCATTAATAATAACATTTTTTTTTTCCCAGCCGAAATAAACTTCTTTCAATGTGGTGT